CAAAGGCAGCACTTTTGTTACTTCAGTATGTTTGAATGACTTGTAAATCTGATAAAAACTTGCTTTGAAAATCCATTAATGCAAGTTACTTCCATCTAAGTTGGGTTCCCTGCAAAACCTCCAAGCCAGCCAGACTCAGCGGTGAATGTGCATACCTGTAGATATTACCAATTTAAGGGGTGGGCCATAACTGAACTCTTTTTGTGTAATTATGATCAGGAAGAAGTTGATTGTGGCATCATTGTCAGTTAATATGTTGGACCATCCACACCCAAAAAATTCCAATTTCTTCATTTACTTCTATTCTGATTTTCTTCTCTTGCAATGAATATAGAATTGACTTCCTATCAACTGCACTGACTGGGAGGATCAAATCTTGTGTATGCTGCAACCTGCATCCTCTAATGTCATGTTCTCCTTCCAGTTCTCGTATTTGGATCCACCAAAGGTCAATTGCTTAATCCCAATAAAGCTGTTAAAATCATAATAGTTTTTAAAGATCCAGCAGGAAATATGAAGAAGGAAAAACAAAATGAAAGCAGCATCAGAAGCAAGAGAGAAACCAAACCATTCAAGCAACTAAAAGCAAATCATAATCCATGGGAACTGTGATTATTTGCCTATTCTTCATCCAAAAAATAATTTGGTACCCTACCATGCACAGGTTCCAAACTTAAACAACTAAAGAGTGGAAAAGCATTTCATATATAAACAGACAAGATCAAAGCCTTTGGGATTGAAGTTTACTATAAATTGATTTCAAACCCAGAAAGTAATAAAGGTTATCTAAGTAACACAGGTAGGAAGCTTACTCGGAACTTATCTGTGTCAATGCATTTATAAGAATGTCAAGAAGCAATGGTTCAGAGGTCCCAATGTCAACCCTGTCAAAAATATTTGACGGAATCATAAGCACGAACATTAGAAACAGGTATTCCTAATTAGATAAAACAGTTAAAAACATGGTCAATAGACATTTCTAACACATACTAGAATCTAAATCAAGGTCCTACCACACACGCGCCAGGTTGTCTTGAATCTCAAGATCCCCAAGATTGTAAAATGTTGTTGGGTTAACATTTGCTCCCTGGATAGCATCATAACTCGGTCTTTTATCCAAAGGAGCCTGAGATAACTGCAAGAAATAGATTGGATAAGTAAGCAACAAACTTTTTCCTTTCTATCGTTCCTTTCCCCAGAGGCCTAGCCCACCTCCCTCTATCCTAAAAATTAAAAGCTTAAGTAACTTGAAGTGCAAACGAAGTTAACAAGGAATTATATATACAGTTTTGGAACCTTCTCTATACACAAGACTAAACCGGACAAAAGACATGGGAATTTATGAGAGAATTCCAATCAACTTTTGGATATTAATTTTAGGATTGCATCATGATTCATGAAAGCATCTTCATAACAGCATTAACTTCAAATTTTATTTAATGAAAGGAGAAACTTTTACTTGCATATTCATGGAATTGCATCCACCAAGACGTCCAATGATGTGCCACGACCGAATTGTCTGCATTCGAGCCACGCCAAGTGATCAGTCATTTTATAGTTGGAGATATGATATTCATGTCTTAGAAAGCAACTTACATCGCAAATTAAGGAGACATCTTTCTCCAGTGGAGCATTGTAGAATTCAAACCATATGTATGAATTGGAGAAACCAAATCTGGCAATGGCAGCCAAAAGAGCCAATTAATAACACGTTACAGACCAAAGATAACCATTTTTATGCTGCAAGGTTGTCTATTATCCTGGGCATTTAAGTTGATGGTACTGAAAGCAATGGCTTGATTTTAGGCTGGTAAATATTGGGTGATAATTTTATTTCTCATCAAGTTGGGCGGAACTGAAAGTAAAAGTAAATGTCCCATGCACGTCTATGAACTCACTTGTCGAATATCACTTTCATTGGAGTCCCTGAGCCGGTCTTTGTATGCAAAATTTTGTTCCTCTTCTTCTTCAATCTTTTCTCCATCTGGAAAATTCAATCATCTCCATCCATAAAGAGCACCAAATAAATTACTTCAGAAAATTAAATTAAAGAACAAAAAACAGCTTGGCGAATTCGAATTGATGCCTATATCAACCCAAATGCTGAAAATACTCTCAATGCCAGAGGCTGAAAATACTATACAACAATTCATCAACAGAGCTGAAAACGCTTTTAACCTTGTTCAAAATAAAAAAGATTTACGACTAATCATCGGCTACTTAGCTTACTTTGGATCGGGCCTTCTGCGGGTCATCAAGAGAACTTCCCAAAATTTCGGCGAATTCTGGGTCTCTATCATAATCCTTCTCGTCTTCTCTTCCTTTTGGCGATGAATATTCCTCTTCCTCTCCATCTGCTCCGTAATCCTCTTCTTCAAAGTCTCTCTCAGAGCCTTTTGCGCTCATTTTCGGGCCCATCTTCCCTTGAGAAACGGAGCCAAAAGTAGTCTCTGCCGATGCATGGTTGTGCAAGGGAAATGTAACGGACCAAAATGGCACAAAGCTGCTACGGAAAGAAGATATGGGGTGCGTAATGGTCAGGGGTTGATGAGGGGGTGCGCAGAGGTGTAGGTTAAGCATCTCTTCCTTCTTCGTCCTCCTCCTAATCCGAGTATAGTAGAAGCTATAAAGGTTTAGGGCGCCTTGTTCGTGGCGGAGGGGTCGCCGATTGCTCGCTAAGTCGGTGGATTAGTGAGTTTAATCTCCTTTTTTGTTGGGTTGCATTAAATTAAATAAACTTATTATAATCCGAAATTTATTTTTTTATTGGAATTCTTTTTATAAGAAAAAAAAACACACACACCCAAAAATAATATTTTGGTTGAAATTTATAATGGGATTTTTTTTATGGCTTAAAAAGTCATAATTTGATCCTTATTGAAAACTATGAAAATATAAAGTCTTAATTTAAAAGTTGTGTTATAATTTTTTTTCTTTAATTCATTATAATTATTTCAACTAATTGAATTCAATATTTAAAAATTATTTATTTTACCGTAATTTTTTTAATAAAATTCAATTTAATCATTTTAATTTTACTATTATATTAATAAATTAAATTTTATAATGCAATAAATTAAGTTCATATAAAATTATAATAATTATGTAAATAAGAGTTTGTATATTATACTTTTATCATGTCATATCTATATGATAAACATCGGAATAGTATAAAAACTCATAAATATTAAAAATAAATCATTAAAATTATTTAAATAATATTATATGTCTCTTAATAAACTAAATTATCTTTAATATTTATTTTAATGTAATATTTTATTTATTTTATTCAATATAAATATTAATTTTAAATTTATTATTTGTGTAACACCCTAAAATAAAATTTTAATGTAATTTAAAATTAATAAATTTTTTTAATTTAATTTAGAGTAAAAATGAAGTAAAAATTGAAGGATGATGAAAATAAAAATAATTTTTGAAAAAATGAATGGAAATTTGGGTTCTGGGGTATTTTTGAAAGAAAAATAAAAAATCGATGGTCAAACTGTAATTTAGAAAAGTTTGACCACGTCAGATGCACGGTCAGCAGGCTCGATGAATCAGTATGCGTCGCATGGCAGTGAATGCTGACGCGGTGCCACTCGGGCGATACGCGTGCCCGCGATCAAACGGCCCAAATCCGTTCCCACGCACACGGACGGCCCATATGTGTTCCCTCTCCAAACGCGATCGGACGGTCAGATTTGAACGTGATCGGATGGTTCATATTATATTGCGATGGACGGTCCAAATTTGATCGCGATGAATGGTCCAAATTCACTTCCTATTTAATCATGATCGAACGGTTTAGATCAAATGCAATGGATGGTCCAGATCAAAAGCGAATGAATATAAATAACTCTCATCCACACCAAACCCTAATCCTAGCCGTCATACCCCCTCGCTGAAGAAGAAGATCCGGCCGCCGGGAAGGAGACCGTCGCCATTCGCCGCTGCACCAGAGCCCTTTTCGACGCCAAAAAAGATAAAAAAAAAAATTTCTTTTTGCTTGGAATTCAATTCTAAACACACTCATGGCCAAATCGAAGCAAAAGAACCAGCCAATTAGCTGAAAAACACAAGCGATGCCCAGCGGCACCGCCGCGAAAAATTTCACAAAACGCCTCCAATGAGTCCCTTCCCGATTCCCATTCTATA